TACTCCATTAATAAAGCAGTACCTCAGGAAGGGGGTGAGTTTGGACCCTTTCCAGCACTCCATGGACTTTGTCTTGGGGAAGGATGGGAATGTTGCCTACACACAAGGTAGTTTTGCTAATTGGAGCCAATACCGCACAGTACCCCTTTAAGAATATTGCAGTTGGCATTAAGGGTTTTGTGGCACTGTGGATGAAAAGAGCTCCTTCTCTGATCACATTTTAGAACAAGGCACAATCTGTCTCTTATATAACCACTCCCTGCCTGGCCTACAGCAGATGCTTCTGAACATGCTACAGAAACGTTCACAGCAACCAGCTTTCTATTGATGGACAAAGCTTCCACCAGTTTTTCCCATGTGGCATTTTATAGGGCTCTGCCTAGGCCCTGCAAAGCTGAGATTTTCTGCTGTGCACCTGCAATGTCATGACATGAGCCCTGCTGTTGCTTTCATTGCCCAGAGCAGTTTCAATGGCAAATGGGGAATAAGAGCTTGCTACCTGTAAAGCAGTGATTGAACACTTTCTTGTCTTTTTCCAGCTTCAGTTCTTTTATTCCTTTGTCAGCATCCTTCATTGAGAGATACAAGGCACTAGGTGCAAAAAGGAACCATGGAAATTGTTAGGAAGTGGGCAGCTGTAACCATTCGGCACAATAATGTCCTCATTACTCTTTTGGCACCGCTGCATCTCCAGCACAACAGCCCAAGGAAGGCAAATAACTGGATGGAGCCTAGTATTTTTGGAGGCCTTCCAGGCTTACAATCAGATTCTTTTGCTGTCCTCAGCAGCAGGCCTGGACAGGAAAGTCCACAAGCCTAATATTCCCTGGGGCCACAGAACGGGATGGGGAATCAGTAGTGTGAGCAAAGACACAAAACACTCCAACCACCCAGGCAGGGGTTGCCAATGGCAGGGCAAAAGGAGAAGTTGCCCCAGGGCCTGGTAATTTAAAAGGGCCCCAAGTACTGGTCCACTGCTACCACTACCGGGGCAACAGCAGCAGCTGGAAGCTGAGCACTTTAAATCATGGCTGGAGCCCTAGGCAGCATGGTCCAGGTGGCACTGAGGGCTGGCTGTCCCAAGCTCCGCCCTTTCCACCTGAGGCCCCGCCCCTTCCAAAGCCCAGCCCTTCACAATAGCAGAACTTCACAGAATGGCTTCCTCCCTGGAGGTCCCTCTTTGTATTAAGTTCCTCCTGCAACCTCTCCCTGTCCTCTCTGGGAACTGGAGGACCAAGTTTTCTAAGAGTTTGACTTCTTGACAGTAACTTCACACTTCAGGAGGCCTCATCGTAACTTCAGCAATTCATGGTCTGTTTTCCCTCCTCCAGAGCACCTTTTGCAAACCCCAGATAGCGCCATTGCTTAGGGCCCCTGAGTTGTTGAGCCAGCCCTCTAGCAGTTTCTCTGGACCAAGTCCTGAGATTCTTGTTCTGTTGTTATTCAGTCATTTGTCAAACTAATCTCCCCCTGAAGCCACCTGAGGTTAGCCTAAATTCAGGATTAGGCCGTGTGCAACTTTGTCTCCCACCAGAGTATCCTCAGTACAGCAGACAGCAACTTGTATTTATTTGTCTAGAAGAGCATATTCAGAGACAAAACAAGCTTCCCTTAGTTTTCTAAACATTCACCTTCGCCTATCTTTTACTTTTCACTAGATTCAGGTTCTTTGAGAGGCCACTCAGTCTGGAAAGTATTGCTAAGAAAGCAGCCTGGAGAATGTCCCGCATGGAACAAAAATGTTTGAACATCTTTGCAAAATGGAAAGCTGGTCCAGCACCCTCGGGACCTGCCAGGTCCCGGATGAGGGATTTTGCTGAAGCGGGATGCTCATTTCTGCCCACTCTTCCCCCCAGTGTCCCTTCCAACCCTGGCCCGACCATTGCCCTCCCCACTGGCTCCCCACTCTTGCTGGCTCTGCTGCCCTATTAGCCCCCACTGTCCCTGCTCCTCGGGCTCCCACTGCTGCATCAGGCAGCCCCATCACGTGCACATGCACCAGGCTTCTGCTGCAGCACCCAGCAGCTCCGCTGTCTTTGTGTACCAGGCTCTCAGTGTGGTCTGCGCTAGGTTCCCACTGCAGAGCCTGGCTCCTGCTGCCACTCCTGCCAGCCCCGCAGCCTCTATGCCAGGCTCCTGCTGCCGCATGTGGGGCTCCCACTGCCCTGCTGGGAAGCCCCAGCGCTCTGCCAGCTTGCAGGGCTCCCAGGCGCTAGCCCTCCACTGGGACTCTCTGGTCCTGGAACATCCATGGTCCTCCAGTCCCTATCCTGCAGTCCCTATGTCTGAGCTACATTCAATGGAATGTGAGTTTTGCCTCAGTTACAGTGGAACTGGCCAGAGGAATATCTAATCACCATCTCCTCTCTAGTCCCAGTGCTTTATTCCTGCTACTCCAGCTGTCTTTGAACCTCTGCTGCTTCTGGCTTTCTGTTTTGCTGGAAGAGGCTCCACCTTCCCCCCCAATACAGAGCACCTCCTTCTTCCTTGTCCCCTGCCACAGCAAATTCCTATGCAGATATAACTTATCACAAGCCAAGTGCCATCCTCACAGTTCGGTGCCATGTAGGCTACTGCAGTACATTGTGGTGCACTCCTTGGCAGAGTTTGAAAAGGCCCATTATGCAACGTCCACGTATAAATGAACTCTGCAGGCAGAGGGCACCTCACTGCAGCTCAGATCAGTGGCAGTCTGGCTAAGCCAGTGGATTCATTTAAGCCGAGGTTTGTTAGAGTGACTAGTAGTGAAACACTTGGAAAGATGCCTGATTTTCAGCTGGCACTTGCTGAAAACTGGGTACCTTCAAAGTGTCTCTAAGCTGGACTTCCAAAAAACAAGGCACATATAAACCACTGGTTGCTTTTAAAAATATGAGCCAAAAGGTAATGAATAGTAAATAAGTCTGAGTTCACCCTTTAATAATTATTATTTTTATGGTCATTATCCCATCTTCCCCAGCCCGCTGCACCTCCCGCCTGCTACATCTTGTCTTTTAGGGAGCATTGACATCAATGGGCGTTTTGCTACTGACTTCAAAAGGGCCCAAATTTCACCCTTTCATCTGTAAGTTCTTTAGGGCAGGAACTGTGTGCTGTGTGTTACAGAGCCTTGCTCAGTGGGCTTCTGACCTGATTCTTGGTGACGGGTGCTAGACAATATAAATAATATTAATAAGTGATTTCCAAAGTTATGAGCGATTTTAATAATGGAAAAAAGCTTACTGCTATGAAGGACCATTACATTCAATCTCCTAGACTCCTTTTCTAGAGTAGCTGAGCTGGTGCCTAGAGCTGTAAAGTAGGCAACACTGTGGGTCTGTTAATTCTATTGTCACTTGAGTGTTCAGTCAAGTATAATTTATTTAATCTGAAATCAGCTTTGGCTCTCACATAGCAGCATTCAAAAGAGAGTTGTTTGCTGGTCTCTGGAAAGGTTTTACCGTTGCTTTGGGATGCCACATGTGCACGTGACTTATGTTTCGATGGCTATTGTACTTGTGTTTTAGTCTCATGATTTAGAAAGGACCCTCGAGTGAGCCTTATGACGTAGGAAGGCCTAGTCCATTACTGCTGCTGGTCAAGGGACAGAAGACCAGCCTTGCCTACCCGGTAGCAAATTCCTTTCTCGTGCAAAAGAACAGGTTGATGTTATGTTACCAGTAGGGCCTCAACCAAGGTACAGCCATGAAAAACGTATTACAGACTGCTGAAATCTAGTTTGCCCCCATGAAACCTGTTTTTTAGTGTGTTTTTACCCTATTGACACTGATTTCCTGGGGAAGACCAGTGTCTATCAAATTGGGGGGTCTTAACTCAAAAGGGAGCTGCGGGGGGGAGGGTCACAAGGTTATTTTAAGGTGATATATTGTCACCCTTACTCCTGTGCTACCTTCAGAGCTGGGCTGCTGGAGAGCAGCAGCTGTTTGCTAGGCACCAACTCTGAAGATAGCACCCTGCCAGCAGCAGCGCCGAATAAAAGAGGCAATGCCATACCAGGCCATCCTTGCTTTTGTGTTGTAACTGGCAGTGGTTCTGCCTTCATATCTAGGCTCCCAGCCAGCAGCTGCCATCTCCAGATGCCTACCTCTGAGGGCAACGCTGCCACCACCAGCAGCACAGAACTAAGGCTAGTAGTATCACAACCTCCCCTACAAGAACCTTGCAATCCCCCTCCCTCCAACGCCTGTTTGAATCAGGACCACTATATTTACACATCATGAAATTTCAGATTTAAGTAACTGAGATAATGAAATTTATTATTTTTAAAATGTTATGACCATGAAATTAACCAAAATGGATCATAAACTTGGTAGGGCCTTAGTCATCTGGCTCTACTCTCTAGTGGTCACCAGCCAGTAGATCGGAATCTATGGGTAGATCGTGGAACCTTTGACAGGCGATCCTGAGAGGTTTGGCTGGGAGGCTATCCAGTGCTGGCACTTCATCTGCACTTCTCCTTTGGAAGTGCCCCTCACCGCTGGGAGCCTCTTGCTTGCTGTGCAGAGCATGGGAAGAAGAGGAATTGGGGCCCCTCCCTCCACCCTGTACCCCATCTCCACAGAGCAAAGGGAGGCAGGGATGGAGAGAGTTTGCTGGCTGCTTTTGGGAGTGGTGCAGGGACAGGGCTGTGATGAGCCTGTTTTAGCTCCCCGCACCACCACTCAAAAGCCACCTGTGGTAAGCGGTGCCCAGCTGAAGCCCTCATTCCAAACACATGCCCTAGTCCTGAACCCACCTGCATCCCAACTCCCAGCTCCCAGACTGATAAAAGTGAATGAGGATAGGGTAGGCAGGATGGAGTGAGCAGAGGCGGGGCCTTGGAGAAGGGGCAGGAAGGAGGCAGGGTAAGAATGTTTGGGTTTGAGGCAGATCCTAGATTGCTCTTACATTCAAAAAGTGATCTTATGCTCAAAAAGGTTGGAGACCACTGATCTACTCCCTGCTGAGGGAAGGAAGTGGGGGAAGAGAGATATTATACCAGACCTTAGATTGATTGTTTCAGGCAGCCTGATGGACTTTCTGGTGGATTTTCTGGCAAACTTTTGGCCTCCCTCGATGCACTGAATAGCCTTCTTGATATCCCGCACCCAGGCATCTCTCTCCTCAAGGTAGGCGGCTTGGAAAAAATGGTCCTGTTGTTTGGCTGTGGTGAATTTGAAGACAAACTATAACGAGAAATAACAAGAAAAGGATTTTTAAACATGGCTTTATGTAACCAGTGGGCTACGATAAGACCAGCATCAACATGCTGTACATCTTGCCTTAGCAGGAACTAAGTATAGGATCCAGAATGCATGATTAAAGCAAAGAAGATCTGAAGAGATAGCTACACAGACTGTGCAAGTAATCCTGCTCCTCGTAGTGGTATAGACAGTGCATTCCTGACATTCTTACCAGAGCTAGGCTAGGTAGCTCTAAAATAACTAGTCAGGGGCTAATGCTAGTTCTGTTTGGCAAGTTCAGTGGTGCCCAAGGGATTTAAGCACCAAACTCCTATTGAGTTACAATGGTTGTTGGGAATGCCTTCCAACTCCACTGAAAATCCCAGCCTTAGCATTTAGACAGGTAGTCAGCCTTAAGGGGAAAAGCCTTCCTGGTACAGTAAAACTCCAATAGTCCAGCATCCAATAGTCCAGCATCCAATAGTCCGGCACTCCTGATAGTCCGGCATCAAAATGGCAAGAGCCTAGTGAGTGAGTTTCAGCAAAATATGAGTCACAAAGTAACAGCGGCAACAACTGAACTGAGCAAAAAGGGTAAAAAAGGCTTAAAAAAACTAAAACGTTACAGTATACTGTATACAGTATGTACAATAAAAAGGGTTAAGAACACTTTACATACAGTATATAAAGTATACAGTATATATATATATAACCAGTTTATAGTACCTCCTGATAGTCCGGCATATCTGATAATCCGGCACCACCTAGGTCCCATAGGCTCCGGATTATCGGAAGTCTACTGTACACAGAAATCCTTCCCCACTACCATGTGCACCTATGAAGTAGCTGGAGAAGATTCCAGACGAACACTCCAAGTAAGAGATGGAGAGGTTGTCTAGCATGCCCACCAACACACCATAGTTCCAAGAGACACAGGGCCTTATCTCACGCATACAGACCTCATTGGGAAAACTCCCATTTGCATCAGTGTGCTATGGATCAGGCCCACATCTTGCCGACATAAGGAATTAGTAGACCTTATACTGTGTGCTATTGTGTAGAAATATTGTGTGCTATTGGCAGGGACTATTAGAAGTAGAACTAGGGTGCCTATTGAAAGGAGCAGAAAGACTCCCCTGAGCCTGTGCAGGCAGGATTGCTGAGGGACTTTCTCCACAGCCAGCCTCATTTCACACATTCTGCCCTGAATAGCTCAGTAACCACAAGAGCAGCTTTTGCACTAGGGTTTTCTCAACCTTTAGAAATGTGTAGGGCTAATTTTTTTAATGCACATCTGAATGCCCCCTCTGAGCCACCTGCCCCACACAGACCCCTCTCAATCCACACCTGAATCCTGCCTCCCCTCCCCACTAAGCTCCTCTATACTTGGATCCTGCCATGCTGAGCCTACCAGCCTACACCTGCTGCACCTTGCAGGGAGGGGCAGGGGACTGGAGTGTTTCTGGTGCAGACCCAGTCCTTGTGCTATGTTAGGGTTGGGCACAACCTCACCACTGAGTCCATGTCTCAGGGGAGAGAGGGAGCTGCACAGTGATCACTCACCTCTGTGCAGTCAATGGCTTGTGCTCCCCACTGCCGTGCAGAATTTTGCACAATTTTAAAATATTGCATGCCGAATTTTTTACATTTTTGGCACAGGTGTAGATAGTGCCAGAAAGGAATAGCTGTTCAATCAATACCACAACTGAGAGTTCGAAACTGAGGTATTTTCTGCCTCAGAGTGTAAAATATGAAGGATGGTGAGAAAATTATTTCTCAGCTTGTCAGTAGTGGTATGACTATTCATGAGAAAGCAATGGAGAAAAAAATGACATAGATCTGGAAGGAGAAAAACAGCAGAAATACAAGAAACAACCTGCCAACACATCAGAATTGTTAAAAGTGGCCATGAGTGCAGGGAACTGGATTAGGTTCTACTAACCCTACAATTTTGTGATATAAAATCACAAAGCACATGGAAAAACCCCATTCAGGGCAGATTTTTCCTTTCACATATTGGCAAATGCCAACAAAGAAACAATAAACAAACAAACAAAATAAGTGTGTTACTGAGCTAGTGAAGCGAATCAGTGGATTTCATCTAGGCCCTGATTGGGGAAAGCATCAGAGGGGTAGCCAAGTTAGTCTGTAAGTGGATAACCTTAAAAAACAATAAATAGTCTTGCAGCACCTTAAAGACTAACAAAACATGTAGATGGTATCATGAGCTTTCATGGGCACAGCCCTCTTCTTCAGATGTCCATTCAGGCCAGCCTGAATAGAATCCATGGAACTTAAACCCCTGAAAACACTTAACAACAAGCTTATGTGCTGTCCTGTATTGGGCCTTACTGAACTTGACTCAAAGTTAATATAAGCTGGGAATCAGAATAAACACATTCTATTGCCAACAGTAGGTTGAGTGCCCCTGAATCCCCCAAAGTACAAATCCCCCCAAAGCACAAATCCACCTAACATATCAGCTATATGAAGTGTGTGGATGCGAGCAAAGTCATCAGCCGCAGTGCACCACACTGGTTCACGCAGAAAATATGAATGTGGGCAGCCTATTGGAATTAGGCAAAGGATGAAATCCTGGAGGAGACACTCTGGGCTATTCCAATTTTTTGTATGGTTAACAAAGCTACAAAATGTACATTTTCCAAAATGCTGCATTTGAAGAGCTTATAACCAGGTGATTACCTTTGGATTTTATTGGTGCGCCCCTACTTGTACGACTAGTCCTCTGGAGATTCAATGGGACTGCTCAAGTGAGTAAAGGGTTGCAATCCAGCCCTTTTTGGTTTACTTAGCTATTTGAGTAGTGTCAGTTTTCACTGTGGGATGCCCTGGCCTGAGCCGCTCTACAAAGTTACCACAGGATCTGGGTCAAGACCTGATCTACAAGCCAACGAAGAATCCATCTCCAGGCTTCAGATTAGATATGGGCTCTCTCACTAATCTCTCCAATTTTTGTGCATTTCTTGCCAGCAGGGGTGGAGTTTGGGAAATCCAGCCCTCAGCACTGTCCATAGTGTGCCACGCTGCACACCGCCTTGTCCTCACAGCTGCCCTTTTGAATGCTGGGCTCTGGGACAAATGCGCGCTTTCCCCCTCCCATCAGCAGGTCTGGGTCCTGACCAGGACAATGTGTGTGCAATGGTCCAAATCTTCACTGATTTTTCTTCCATTCTCCCTCAGGCAAACCCTCAGTGACTAGACTAGGGCTTTGCCTGAGGAAGGACTGATAAACAAATGCAGTATAAAAAAAAAACTTAGGGGCCATCGGTGCAATGGCAGGAATCATGCTTCCTGGAGATAGCAGATGAAATCCAGGCCACTTGCTTACAGTAGATGAGGGCTTGGTACAAAGCCCATGAACCTCAATGGAAATATTGCCATTGACTTTAGTGGCCTTTGGATCTGGCCCTGAACACACTATTCGGTGCATTATCCAGCAGGGTGAACTGAAGGGCGGGGTAGGGAAGACTGTTACAAATTGTTGTGATCTAACTGCCCCTTCTAGATGCTGTTAGCACAAATTAAAAGGTGCCTGTTTCACAGTGACATAATCCTCTTTCAAACAGAATTATATTAACACAAATGAGGTACCTTTTAGTTCACACCAGTAGCATACTCACAAGACCGATCACAACACTTTGCCATGCTCTGCAATTCACATCCTATAATCTGCAGCACTGTATAGTGCGGGCAAGTCTTTAGTCATAACTGCTAATTCTTTCTGTCATTTCTGTATGTTTTGTAAAGAACACATCTGTTGTTCCTGTGATTAGCCTCTATCTACAGTAGCTTCACATTTCCAAGCGAAACGTCTACAGAGTAGGGGCTTGTCTACTAAATATTTAGAAATGTGCATCTGTCTGTCCATCTGTCTTATGCAGCTTCCTCTTATCAAAACTGAAAGCAAGGTAATAGTTTGGTTGTGCTAGGACAAAGGGATATGCCTGGAATTTGATTGTTTCTCATGAAATGGAAAGGGAGTGGCAGTTATATTGCAGAGTGACCACAGGGAGCAGCAAGGAGTCAGAGAAGGGGACAAGGACATTTATAACCCCACTGGGCCAGTAGGAGGCAAGGATGGAGAAAGGGACAGCTATCTACTATATATGGGTATGTCTACACTACCCCTCTAGTTCGAACTAGGGGGGGTAATGTAGTCATACGGAGTTGCAAATGAAGCCCGGGATTTGAATTTCCCTGGCTTCATTTGCATAAAGCTGGCTGGCGCCATTTTTAAATGCCGGCTAGGTCGGACCCCATGCCGCGCGGCTACACGCAGCACGGGGTCCGACCTAGCCGGCATTTAAAAATGGCGCCGGCTGGCTTTATGCAAATGGAACCCGGGAAATTCAAATCCCGGGAAAAAATGGCGCCGGCCGGCTTTATGCAAATGAAGCCTGGGAAATTCAAATCCCGGGCTTCATTTGCAACTCCGTATGACTACATTACCCCCCCTAGTTCGAACTAGAGGGGTAGTGTAGACATACCCTATTTCAGAGAGTTTGTCTGTTTATGTGTCTATTTGTCTGTGTGTCTATCTGACCTCAAGCTGGGGGACATGCACCCCTCTCCCAGCCGTGCCCGCTGGAGCTACAGCAGCCATGGACAGGTGCTTCTCACTTGGCCCCAAGCTGCTGCAGTGAGAGAGGCCTGAGATTATCCTCTCTCCCTGGGGAAACCTACATACTGAACCCCTCATCTCCACCCTCACCCCAGAACAATTATTTAAATGAAGAAAACAAAACTTATTTGAAGTTAAGGACCCGAGCAATGCCAGGTAAATCTAGTTCATTTCTATTTGGGTGATGATCACAGATTGACACTGATTTGATCTGACTTTCAAGTAGCACTGTGGTGTTTATTTTACCTGTGGTGTTTAATTGCCTGAACTGCAATTGAGTGCCTCATAAATAAAATGCAATTTCTAGCATGGCATGATAGCATCTGCACTGGGCATGAACCCAGTGTCCCTTGTGTGCTATAACTCAGTCAGGTTGGGCTTTGACTGCATGTTACGCTCTGCTTGCTATCAGATGGCAGTACACGATACTACAGAGTCTGGCACCCTGGAGACCTGACCAGTGCTGAACCAGAGAATTTGCCAGACCACTGGAGTTCAACATTGTCTAGCAGCATTACCAACACTTGTACTGCTTACTGGACTCTTAAAAGACATTTATGAGTAAATTAAAGCTAAATACCAGCACAGAACACTGAGAGCCAGGACTGGTGGCTGTAAACAAACTTTATGGGACTGCAGGAAACTTGGCCACACTCATAAGTGGACACTCAGTTAATTAAAATCATGCTGAACTACGGATGTTGCCTAACCAGTGAGAGACTGACTAGAGAGGTTCAGCCTGTACCTGCATCTGTCTTCACTGCTTTGTGGGTTAGCACAGACATGTGTAAGGCTAAGGGAGACCCTGACAAAAAGCCAGAGTGGAGCCCCAAAGGCAGACAGTCGACAGTAAGGTTTAATAAACTGTCTTCCAGAAACTCCTGCAATTGTGCTGGCTCCAGATGTAGAGTCTTTGCCTTTCCCCTGGAGTTTGCTCACACAGTCGAGAGGGAGAGTGTGGTCCCAGGAAAGCTACGCTTTCCGTATTTTCTCTGCCTAGGCATTTGCAGAGAGTACTCCGTTTATGTCACAAACGGAGAGGGCACTCCATCTCGTTGCTCACCCCAGCAAGAAAACAATATGGTAAGTTGCAGTTCACCAGCTCATCAAAAAGCTGCAATAACCAAACATCTGTAAAGTCAAATGGGGCCACATGACTCACTATTTCAGCACCTCAAGACAGAGGACATGGAGTTGTGCCAACAGACATATTAGTAGCTAATCCAAAATACAGATTCACACTGACCATTAAAAAAAACAAACACGCAAGGATCCATTCTTTTCTTTTCTCTCTGATGTTTATTAATTCACTTGGAGTTTAAGTCTCGGCTTAACAAAGCCCTGGCCGGGTTGATTTAGTTGGAATTGGTCCTGCCTAGAGCAGGGGGCTGGACTTGATGACCTTCTGAGGTCTCTTCCAGGTCTATGATTCTATGATTCTATGAGATCTTTTCTAACACTCCTATCCTGTTCTCTCATCATCTGTTCAATCAATTATTACATTTTCAGACTGTTTGGCTTTCTGCATTATTTGGAAAAAACTGATGCCAATTAAAAATTCAATCTGTCACGAACCCAAACTGCATGAATGGCAAACCTTTGGGGACAAGCGGTTAGCAGAAAAGATGCCTTCTTAAGCAATTATATTGGAAGGTGGAGAGTTCACAATCACTGCTTCTCATAAACACCCAAATCACACCTACCTACAAGGAAAAAACCCTTTCTCTCCCTTCTGTTTCAGGTAGCTGCTGTGTCAGCCATATTTCTTTAGCAATAATTAATATATAACACTCCTGCTCTTTAAAAAGTCCCCCGGGTTATTTTATAGTTACTGGAGCCTTGTGTCACACTCAGTCAGAGAGGAGACACATTCCCAGAATGCCCCCATCACCACAAGGCTAGATCTACATTACAAGGTAGGGGATGAGTTGTCTGCTCATGCGCAGCTAGTTATCACCAGTGTATATAGCAGTGTTGCCATGGTAGCATGGGTAGCGACAGCAGACACACAACTGGCACCAGTTTCAAGTGGGCTTGTATGTGTACAGGAGCAGGGGAATCACACTTCTCACTCACAGCGTAGATGCAGCACCACTTCAGAGCACTGAATCACCAGCATTACTTCATACAGCATCTTGAGTTTTCCTCAGAGGTCTCCCATTCAACTACTGAGTAGGCCCCAGTAAACCCTGCTTACGTGGTTTGTGAGAAGCGACAAAATCATAACCAAACTAACTTTGTCTTGTAACATATTATTGCCCAATGCACTGTCATTCAATATTTGGTCAGCAAGGTCTTAGCATTCAGGGGAGGAAGGAGGCCCAAGTGGGTAGAACACTAGCCAAGGCCTTGATAGATCTGGGTTCAAGTCCTGCAGAGACTTCCTGGGTGACCTTAGCTTAGTCATTTTGACTGTCTCTGTGTCAGCTCCCCATCTGTACAATGGGGATAAGACTCACAGCAGGATTGTGAAGCTACAAGTGCTCTGAGATCTACTGATGAAAGTGCCATGCGTGTATAATTATTATTCAGTGGCTGTAAAAAATACTTACCATCCGTTTGCCAAAATCCTGACATGGGCTATTGATAGAGCTTCCTTTCAGGGGGATCATTCCTTTGGGACTGCTGTCAATCTTCTTCTTATAGAATTCAATTCCATCATCTAGGAGCACTACCCACATCGGCTTCCAGGTATTAAACATACTGCCCTGCATTAGATCAGATAAGCTGGTTACATTACATTTTCTTCATTAAATATTTTACCTTCTAGAAAAAGACACTTTTAAATGTCCTTCCAACCCCCATCTCACTCTCCATTTTAAATCAGTGAATTGTTCTCTTTCTACAGCCCTTATTTCCTCCTCTCTGTAATCCCACTAACATGCTTCTCCACGGTTGCATCAGACAAGCCGTCCTGCATTTTCTTCATATATCAGCAGCACTCAAGCTTTCTTCATATTCTGGTTTTTGCAATGCTTGAGCAACATTCAAAATTTCCACACATGGCTGGTTTACAGGTTAGGCACTGAAAGGAAGGCTTGATGCTACAAGACTGTAAGCACCTCCCGGCTCTTTTAGTTCTGTGTTTTTACAGCACAGATGGGGCCCTGGTCTATGATGAGTTGCTACAATAAGACAGCTAATAATTAATAATTATCATCATAATTAATCATACAATTTGTTGAGGCCTCTCAGTCCCTACTGAAGACAGTGAGAGGTAAGGGGACGCAGCACCTTGCAGGATCAAGCCCTCTGTGGATGGATTTTCAGTGATTCTGAGTGCCCAGAATACCCAGAAATACCGGTGGAATTTGCAGCTGCTAAGCATCTCTGAAAACATCATATGCCTAAACATAGGTTTAGGTGCTAGACTTAAGCACCCAACTTTGAAAAGTGTGGCTTACACAGAAACAGACACAAATTATTCAGCTAGCCAGGTCCCACCCATATTGATTCACCTTCAGCAATATTTTGTCACTTTTATTATACCCAATCACCGGAAGAGGAAATTTCATCTTACCATATTAAAAAAGGAGGAATATTTGGCTCCAGGGTTTTATTTCAGCTTTCAAAGCTCTTCTTCCCATTACTAACACACGAAGATGATTTTGTAACTAGCAGTTCGGATGTTTATTGAGGGCCTGATCCTATGTCCATTGAAATCAATAGCAAAACTCTCATTGACTCCCATGGGGCAGGATCAGTACACTGTGGCCTTAAAAATCAATCCAGGAATTGTATAGGCCACTATCATTGTTGCAGGGTATGTTGTCTGGAAGAGATGGCTAGCCACATTTTCAAAAGCGACCACTGAGTAGAGATGCCGGAGTCTTTGGACTCAATTTGAGGGATCCAGGATCTGATTTTCAGATGAATTGAGTACCTGTACTTCCACCGTCCCGTCCCCCCCCACTCCGGGAGAGCTAAAGGTGAAAACCCAAAAATTAAGTGCATGAACTTGCAGGATTTAGCCCCCTTGAAGAGGAGAATACAACTTCTTATGTGTTGTCTGGCCTGAGGCAGAGTTAGGGTACGTCTAGACTACATGCCTCTGTCGCCAGAGGCATGTAGATTAGGCTACCAGACATAGGAAAATGAAGCGGCGATTTAAATAATCGCCGCTTCATTTAAATATACATGGCTGCGGTGCTGAGCCGACAAACAGCTGATCAGCTGTTTGTCAGTTCAGCGCGATAGTCTGGATGCGCGGGTGTCGACATCAAAGGTATTTGTCAGCCATCCAGGTATGCGTCCTGGGATGAGGTATACCTGGGTAGTCGACAAATACCTTTGATGTCGCCACCCACGTGTCCAGACTATCGCCGCTCGGCATTAGCCATGTAAATTTAAATGAAGCGGCGATTATTTAAATCGCCGCTTCATTTTCCTATGTCTGGTAGCCTAATCTACATGCCTCTGGCGACAGAGGCATGTAGTCTAGACGTACCCTGAGATTCACAGTGACCTGCAGACCCTATGATACAGATCACAGTCTAGGGGAACACTCAGGGAAGGCTTCTACTTCCTGTGTGCAGTGCAGCAGCATGAGGCAAAGTCTCCACCCTGCTGCGTGAAGAATGCATTTTGGATTCCTTAGATCAGAGCTGCCTGTCGTGCTGCCTCATTTAAATGTTGTGTGTCTGTGACAGCGGATTGGACAAGAATTTCTTTTAAAACAAAGCATGCAGACATCACACCTTCCACCTCCCACGCTTGCTGTATTGTGAAACAGACATGAAGTTCCACAGTGCACGGAGAGCTGATTATCATGGGACTTTTGGTGCACACTGGCAAAGGAACTTTCTTCCACATCCAGTACTCTGCTGCGGAAGCCATATGGTCCTGAAATAGCTCAAATAATAGGCCTTGTGTGGACTCTCCTCAGTCCAGGGTCCCCACAGATCTACAGAAAGAGTATGAAACAGGCCACCACATTCTGGCTAATATAAATAAATGGGGAGAATTCAGTGATTGCACAACGAGCCATTTTGACCTGTGGCTGATTTTTTGGAATGGGGAATAAATCAGAGTTAATTTAGGGTGCAGAGTTCAGATCCAAAAGGGAGCCTGTTGTCCACTGTCATATCTTCGCTCAAGGTGGTGCCAACCCCACTGCTCTTACTTATAAGCAAATGACCAGAGTGCTTAGTAAAGAGCAAAATCTGCCTCCCAGGCTATTTACACAGCAAGTCTTTAGTGCGACTAAGAATAGTAGATTCAGCAAACACTGACAAGACAAATTCTCCTTGCCTGGAACTACTCAGGAGAGACAAGCAAGCAGGATTTCTCCCACAGTCTCTTGAAACTAAAGCAAATTATTGCAGACACCCAACGATCATGACTAAGATGGTTGTTTCCCAAATATCCCTGCCAAAAGAATAGCAGTTTGAAAAGTAGTTAGGAGGAAGTTGCAGGAGACTGCTACACTAATAGAACTTCTCCTTTCTTTGACATGTGTAGTACGGAATAGCTAGAAAATATTTTTTCCCCTTCTGGCATGGTAGAACCCACAAAATTTCACAACTCCTACCCTACCAAACCTAAATATACCAGGGTAGATCCATGGCTGGGGTAAACAGGCACTGAAGTCAATGGGGCCATGCAAGGTGAGGATCTGGTCCACAAGAGTATTCATAGCTGATAGCAAGGAGGGAGGGGAGAAGCCTAAGGGAGGCCTCACCTGATCAAACCCTCCATTTTGTTGTGGATGTGAATGGTGCACCTGTACCTTTGGGAGCACAGACATTTGCCTTCCCCTTTTAGGAAACCATTACTGGAAAGCCTCAACAGAAAAGCACCAGAGAGAGGAGTCAGAGATTAAATAGACAGCTGGTGCTTGCTGTCCCAAAGTTAAATCAGGAGTAAACCAGTGCTACGATTCCCTTTACTGAAGGTGCTCTGTCGTGAGATGCCCTGGGAAAAAGCTCATCCTGTTGATTTCAGCTGTCTTCTCCTTTATGGTCATCTCCACCTCTCCAGCACAACAGTATTACCTACTACCAGGATGAAGTTCCTTTACATAGGAGGGAGAGCATCCCCAGAGGCTGTTCCAGCATAGTAACTCATTCCCCACTATCTCAGGGTATGTCTAGACTACATTGTTTTTTCAAAAAAACCTGCCCTTTTTTCCAAAAAAACTTCACCTGCGTTCACACTGCAATCACGTTCTTTTGAAATTAAATAGAAAGAACGCGGGAGGTGAGGGGTTGACATTGACAAATCTCAAATTATGAGGAAGAACACCTTTTTCAAAAGAGTTCTTTTGAAAAAAGGCACGTGTGGATGCAGAACAGGGACATTTTTCAAAAGAAGAGGCAGTTGAAAAAAGCACAGATATCCTGATGGCCATTCTGTGCATAGCAAGCAGGGCTTTCTTTTGAGAGAGCGTCCATGCAGTATGGACGCTCTCTTTCAAAAAACCAGATCACTTTTTCAATCTGGTTTTGAGGTGTGGATGCTCTCTTTTGAAAGAAACTTGTAGTCTAGACGTAGCCGCAGACTCTTCTGTTTTTCTGCAGAAGTTACGATAGTAGAACCTTAGCATTACAAACACAGAATTATGAATTAACCAATCCATCACATGCCTCATTTGGAACCAGAAGTACATGATAAAACATCAGAATCCCCTATCCAAAAAAGCAAATATTGTACAGTATAGTACCATGTTCAACTACTAAAAGAATAAACCGGTAAGGGTTTTTTTCTAAGATTTGACAAGGCAAGGAAACTGTTTCTGTGCTTATTTTATTTAAATTAAGATGATTAAAGGCATTGTTCTTCTTCTTCATAGTAAAGTTTCAAAGTTATATTAAGTCAATGTTCATTTGTAAACTTTTGAAAGAACAACCATAACATCTTGTTCAGAGTTATAAACATTTCAAGTGATAAACGGTCTCCATTCCCAAGGTGTTTGTAACTCTGAGGTTCTATTGTATGGTGACTACCAGTGATATACCATGGAGACTGACCCACTAGAATGATTTCCTTGCCTTGAGTCACCCATCAAGATGCAAGGGAGTGCTCTTTGCATCCTGCTGTACTCCCAGGAGCAGCTATACTTAGGCAGACATGCACACCTGTTACATGGCAAGTCGAAGCATCACTGCCGTCTTCTGCTAGGAAGTGCAGCTAAACTCCCCAATGGTGGAGACTATTTGGGAGTTCTATGGAAATAGAAGATTTCTTGGGTGCCCTGCCCAGCTCCCACCCATTTCCCAGCTGGCCCCACACACTTGGGCTACGTCTACATTGGCACCCTTTTCCGGAAATGCTTAAAACGGAACAGTTTTCCGTTATAAGTATTTCCGGAAAAAAACGCGTCTACATTGACAGGATGCTTTTCCGGAAAAGCACTTTTCCCAGAAAAGCGTCCGTGGCCAATGGAGACGCGCTTTTCCGGAAAAAAGCCCTGATAGTCATTTTCGCAATGGAGGTCTTAGTATTTATGAGAGGTTGTCTGAGTATAAAAATATTATTGAAATGTTTATTTTTGTTAGATTTCTAGCCCTTTTTTGCAGGAAAGTCATATAAATCATTAAAGTGTGTATGCTCATCTCAACCAAGGGAGCAGCATAGTTTTTCCGGAAAAACACTGACAATTTTACAGTAGATCGTCATTGCTTTTCCGGAAAAGCAAGCGGCCAGTGTAGACAGCTGGCAAGTTATTCCGGAAAAGCCATCTGCTTTTCTGGAATAAGTGGCTCAGTGTAGACACAGCCTTGGTGTGTTGCATTGGTCAAATCTAGTTATCTGCTGGAGTGTGGATTATGGCCAGCTTGCTCAACCCTTTGTGGCACAGGAACGGCAAATTGGTTCTTCCAGCACTGAACTTGATCCCCTGCCACCTTAGGATTTTAACTGTGCCACTTCAAGCTTCCTTTAGGTATTGACTTTCTTACATTTACAGCAGAAATTATAGAAGCAGAGTGGGAGGTGGAGAAGCAACATCCTGACAGCTCAGTTCCCCGGTAGCAGATCTCTGGTCCTACACAGAGTAAGGGCTCTACCAAACCCAAGTTATTCTTTTGGGATGAAGACCTGTAGAGATGCCCCTTGCGACAGAGATCCTCTGGTCAGAGGTTTCCATGGGTTTATCATTGAGCAACCAAATCGCTTTAAGCTAGACTGATCTTGTGAGGGTGCTTTAAACTAAGGTACGCCCCCATGGTGTGAAGCCCCCTCACTAAGAATCCCTGCTCAGAGGTGCAGCAGCTTCTATTCCAAGTCTGAAACCCTCCACTCTGCCTGCAGGTTGGGATGTGCTGTGGGTCCTAGCTCACCGGCTCCCTACAAAGTTTTCCACATGAAACCCATTTATTTGGCCTCTGTGGAGCACGAACATAACACAGGAGTCCACCTTCCCTAAAAATCTTCTAATTTCAAGGTGCTCCTGGGGTGAAACCCAATGAAACAGCACGGTCACAGAGTAAAAAACATGGAAAGTTGTTTGTCAGAGCCTTTTGTCCTACACTAACCAATGGCATGGTATGTTGTCTAGTTCATTGTTGTAATCCAGAGATAGAGCTGGGCATGAGCATGCAGCCAAATAGTTTTGCATCTATGTTTAGAACACTCCTTTAATATATAAAAATATACATTATATATAGAAAATGTGTTTGTCTTATTTTACCATAGACTAAGAAGATACTTGCAACTAAGTACACTGAGTAGCAATTGTAAGTAAAACTGAATTAATTGTCATGCCCCCTTGAGAAATTGGCTGATCACCTGTTGGCAATTTTCATGAAAAATAATACAGAATTGAATTTTTAAAGCAAAATTAAGCTTCCCAGTCTGCTTGATTGGTGTCAGCCCAACATTCACCCGTTGCCCGTTTAGAATTGCCCCCCTACCTTCTTAACCAAGTAGCCTTCTCTTATTCGCTTTGGTTCTTGCTCCATGTTCACGCCAATTTCTTTTTCAGTACTGACAGCTCTGGCCGTTACAATGTGTTTGACAATCAAGGGCTGTGTGGGTTGCCTTTTCGACAGCTGTGTCACTTTTCGTAAGTTCCTCTGCTTGTTGATCACATGAAAACAAGTCTATTTCCTCTTATGGGTCAAGAGATTAGAACAGGGAAATGCAGACTGTGTTTATTTATAGGTTTTCTTTGCCGTGCTGTAGAAAGCAGATCTATCAAAAACCCAGCTGTAGTAAAATGCTATCAGACGGAAAGTCTTACAAAATTCATGAAGCATTCTAAACACAGGCCCAAAGAATTTGAAATGTGGCTGTATGCTCGTGCCCAATTTGAGGGCATATGAACAACAACAAATTAGACAATGGACCACGTCTAATGTAGGATGCAAGGATCATGTGAGCAGCTTTCCGTGTTTTTAGCTGTTATAATGCTGATTCACTGGGTTTTTACAAAGGCTAACTTACAGTAAGTTTTCACAGTTGGCAATAAGCACAACTTATCTAGTTTAATAAGAAAGCGCCCTCTCCTGATGTCAGAAGCAATCTGTTTTTTAAAATAAGTGGTTGTTATTGTTGGTAGAAGAATGCTATAGTTTGCAATTATGGTTGGTTATCACATACATTTTTAAAGGCACACAGTTAAAAAAAACACCACGGGCTCGTCTACACTGGCCCCTTTTCCGGAAGGGGCATGTAAATTTCACCAGTCGTCGTAGGGAAATCCGCAGGGGATTTAAATATCCCCCGCGGCATTTAAATAAAAATGTCCGCCGCTTTTTTCCGGCTTTTAAAAAAGCCGGAAAAGAGCGTCTACACTGGCCCCGATCCTCCGGAAAAAGTGCCCTTTTCCGGAGGGTCTTATTCCTACTTTGAAGTATAAGACCCTCCGGAAAAGACCACATGTATTATCTGAAACATAATTAGCAACTGTTACAAGTACACCATTCAGATGACTACATCTGAATAAGATTGGAAGAAAACATCATCTTCCTGTTTGCCTCATGCCTTTGACATGACCAGATTTATAGACACTTTCCCAATTTCCCATACAGAGTCAATCAGATTCTGCTGCTGTTTGTGTTGTCTTTCACTCATTCACAGGAGAGAGAAAAACATTCCCATACAGAGTCAATCAGATTCTGCCGCTGTTTGTGTGGTCTTTCACTCATTCACAGGGGAGAGAAAAACCTGCAGAAAAGGGATTGTTAAGGCACGGAAGTTGAAAGCATGTGCTGTGGGCAAATGTAGCAGCTGGAACTCCATTAACCCCGTTCATTTTAAATTGTCTAGATTTCAAAATGACAATAGTGTCCCTTCAGGTTTCTTGCACCATATGCATATGTCATCGCAAGCCCACTCCCCAGCCCCCAAAAACCTACTCCAGCTGGATTTAGCAGCTGCAGCTTTCTGCCCTACTTACACAATGTGACAGTACCACTGAATTTGCATAAATGCAGATCTCCAAGACCTGTATCCCTGGCCCATCCCTACTGCTGCCTTCTGCTCTGAACCAAATGCATCACCACGGAGACCCCTTTCGCTGAGTGGTAAGGAGGGTTAGTGCTTTCTGTTCCCAGATCTATCGCTTTCCTGCTTTGTGAGCTTAGGCCAGTCAGTTCTGCTTCCTGTTCCTTTTATTTCCCCTCTTCCCTTGTGTCTGTTTGGAGTGTAAGCACTAGGGGGCAGGGCTCCACTTGCTTTTCAGTTGTAATTGTCCACTGGCAATGGCCAGTGAGTTGCTCTCCCCTGCTCTGGGCAGCAAAAGGCTAACACATTGCAGAAGTCCCTTCTCAACACACCTGAATTTAATCCAGTGCAAAGGCTTTAGCCTCTAGAGCTCTCAGTCAGCCTCAGACTTCATATCTGTTTTTATAAATTTGTGACTCAAAATACTTGATCTTACACTGCAGCTTGTTGTTGTTGTAAAACTGATTCATTTGGCTATTTGAGAGATACAATAACAACAAAAACCCTCTCAAAACAATATACATTTTCCAGTACTTCTGCAGCATAAACACAATAACTCTGTAATAGAGTTTAATATACAGCTGCACTGATGATGTTATGAGTCCATACAACTGGGCTGTGTCTACACTGGCACCCTTTTCCGTAAAAGGGATGCTAATGAGACACTTCAGAATTGCAAATTGCATATCCCCCGCGGCATTTGCATGAACATGGCTGCCGCTTTTTTCCGGCTCGGGGTTTTGCCGGAGAAAAGCGCCAGTCTAGACGGGATCTTGCGGAAAATAAGCCCTTTTCCGGAAGATCCCTTATTCCTACTTTCAAGTAGGAATAGGGAGTCTTCCGGAAAAGGGCTTATTTTCCTACTTTCAAGTAGGAATAAGGGATCTTCCGGAAAAGGGCTTATTTTCCGCAAGATCCCATCTAGACTGGCGCTTTTCTCCGGCAAAACCCCGAGCCGGAAAAAAGCGGAAGCCATGTTCATGCAAATGCTGCGGGGGATATTTAAATCCCCCGTGGCATTTGCAATTCTGAAGTGTCTCATTAGCATCCATTTTACGGAAAAGGGTAGTATAGACACAGCCCTGGTGTTTTTTCAGGTTCAGATACGTTCAAATAAATTGGCCACTCCCATGCTCCCTAATTGCAGTGACCTAGCAATGTTGCTGTGAGGAGTTACACTCATTTCCTTGAATACCCTCAGTGGCTGGGTGCAGAACTGCCACTCTCTGTTGCTCCCGGCACTCTGCAGGCTGTCAGTCCATCTCTGTGGGTCTTTGGTGGCTCAGCCAACTGGTCAGGTCATACAGTCCAAACCTCTTCCAGGGTGTAATAAATAGGTGTTTTGCCAGTGAAACCCCTTTGGTACCTAATTCCATCTCCAGAATCAAATCAGCAGGTTTCTTCTTGTACTCCTGCTGTCGACTGTGACTTACACTAAGCCCTATGGCTGTGGTCTAGGGAGCATCCCTCCTCTATGCATCTAAAATTGCCTTGCTAGGCAGTTACTTTTATCTCAGCTTGCTGGGCCTTGACCAGCTTTTGCTTATCCCTAGACTTTATAACTGCTAGAAGACCAAATTTCAAGCCCAGTGGTCTATATTGGCCTCTCTTTACCTTCCCTGGGTTGCAGAGTAGTAGTACCTGTGAAGGTAAACACCACCACATGGGAGCCAATATAAACTCTTGGCTGTTTCTACTATTCATTCCAAATATGGCTTCCCTCTGGTACTTCCCCTTGACTTGTGACCCAGAATACCTTGCTTCTACAGGATGGCGGAAGAGGGGCATGTGATGCTCAGCCATATTGTTTGCATTCACCGGACGAAAGTAACGTCTGCCACTCTCCTACCAGCCATAAAGGCACTGCTGAGGTGAGAAACAGTCCTGCTATCTCCATTATGGGGAGTTCCTGCCTCCATGTTCAGGAACTGGGAAAATGGTAAGAGGCTTTGGAAGCTCAGTCTATTTAGGTCTGTCTTTGAAGGTCACACACCATTCAATGGGGCCTTCTAAGAGTTCAGAAGTTCTGGTAGGGTTTGTAATAAGCAGCAGAAAGACCTGCTTGATTATAGCTCAAGGCCCCTTGAAGTGCTCAGTTCCTATTGTTCTGACTCCTTTAATACAAATGGATCAACAGAATCACAAGACATAACTAATAAGAAATAATAAACCATCTTGTTAATCTTTAAAGTGCTACATAGTCCTGTTTTTTCTTTCAGCTAGACCAGACTATCACGGCTACATTTCTATGGCTACGTCTACACTGGCATGATTTTCCAGAAATGCTTTTAACGGAAAAGTTTTCCGTTAAAAGCATTTTCAGAAAAGCGCGTCTAGATTGGCAGGACGCTTTTCCGCAAAAGCACTTTTTGCGGAAAAGCATCTGTGGCCAATCTAGACGCACTTTTCCGCAAAAAAAGCCCCAATCGCCATTTTTACGATCAGGGCTTTTCTGCGGAAAACAAATCTCTGCTGTCTACACTGGCCCTTTTGCGCAAAAGTTTTTCAGAAAAAGACTTTTGCCCAAATGGGAGCAGCATAGTATTTCTGCAAAAGCATTGAGAATCTTACATGAGATCGTCAGTGCTTTTGTGGAAATTCAAGCGGCCAGTGTAGACAGCTGGCAAGTTTTTCCAGAAAAGCAAATGCTTTTCCGGAAAAAGTGGCCAGTCTAGACACAGCCTATCAGTATAACTAACAACACTTTGCCTTTCTATGGTACCTTCCATCCAAGGTCTCCAAGTGCTGAGAGACATATGTTAACAAAGGTGCTTAAATACAACCAGCATGGAGAAATCTAGGCTACGTCTAGGCTGCAAACTTCTTTCGAGATAAGCTTTTCTGGAAGAGATCTTCTGGAAAAGCTTATTTCAACAGAGAGCATCCACGTGCAAAAATCGCAACGAAATAGTCATTTGCTATTTTGAAAGATAGCATCCACACTGATTGGATGCTCTCCTGCATTTAAGGCCACCCAGAACCAGTTCAGGCAGGGCATTAGGTCAGCAGTTGCGTCTGGGCGCGAGCTGAAAGGCACCCCTCTGGAGAGCCTTGTGTGTGTGAAAAACTAAGAGCACTCACCTGCTGATCCTTCCCCAGCCTCGGACGATTTCTGGGAGACATCCAGGCCCTGGGGTACTGGCTCCAGGGTGATGGTGGTGATGGTACTTGCCGTCTCTTCCTCCTCCTCCAGCTCCTCATCCTCCTCCTTTTCCTGGGTTGGGACCCTCGGCCAGGTGACAATGGGTGTCTCCAGCCCCGAGTCTAACCACCAGGGGTGGGCAAGGGGCTGCACCGCCCCCCTGGAGGTGGTGAAATTCATTTTAGGAGGGGGCAGGAGTGGCGTTTTGCCCTGGAGCAAGAGCTGCATTCCCTGACCCTGGCATAGTCTTGCTGGAGTTCTTTCACCTTGCTCATGGCTAGGGTCTCAGCCATCTGGCCAAATATGTCCACATTCCTTTGTCTGGAGTGGAGATCCTGGAGGGTCTCCTCTTCACCCCATACCTCCAGGAGGGCCAGGATCTCCACCCCAGACCAGGCTGGAACATGACTTTTCCTGCCCCTGTCAGGCTCCTAGGAACCCTGGGCATTGGTGCCTGCAACTGTAGAACTGGCAGCCATGCAGTGAGTTGTAGCTTCCAGGGCCAGCTTCCTGCCACAAGGCCTGTCCTGGGTGTCTGCATCTTTAGGAGCTGCCAGGAGACA